TAAAAGAATTCAAAGTCCCTGTCGGGGTTCAAAACCCACAGCGAAGAGGGGCAAGTTGTTCGAAGTAAACGATCGTAACCACTCGGTCAACAACGCCTTCTGGTTTTAAATTATAAGATTGTATCTTAAAAAGGTATTGAAAATACACACTAAATGGATGGTTAACTTGTTTTACAATACAATCCTGCCACTATGAGATAAAATTGACACAATACCTTAACAACCCATTTCATATTTGAAAGTGGGATAGGAATGCTACATTATTTTCATTATCCCTCATGTACAGCCTCTGTCAAACTGTTCCTGTAATTTTGTTGTTATTAATGCTTACGAGAAATCACACTTTCTCCAGATTTTTGAATCATCTTAAACAAGAGAAAGATCAACCAGCAGGCATGTTGGCCATTTAAATTTATGTTAATTTACTCTGTTGTATGTTTTAATAAATCTGCGATATTCAAACATATTTATAGTGTCAAGTTGCAACTACCTCTCGTTCCAATATACATAATTCATTAAAGTTCTTAGAACTGCATTATCTATTTTAGGAAACACATTAATTAATCTCAAAGGAGCTTTGCATTTTCTAATTAAGCCAGCATCCGGAATATGATGACATCCGTAACATTCTGTAAATAACCTACTTTCCGTGATTTTCATTAAAATAACCAGTATCAATCGTAGTATCAAACATGATTTATGAATAGATTCAATTAAATCTGTCTAGGCATTCAATATCAAGTGGATCAAACAGCCAGTTATATATTTTTCTTTGGTTTCGTATGGGTAATATTTCGATATTAAATTACGGTAAGTTATATTTTCATTTAGCATTTTTCAATTGCAAGCGTAAAAAGTGGCAACTTCGTTTATTACCTCGGGATTATGTCGTTGACAGCATTATGCTCATCTCGGTAATAATTGCACACAAATGAGTTATTTTTTAAAGTGCGCAATTCGTCCCCAGCGGGGGAGTGAGAATTGAAAGGTAGGTAGGGTCGATGTACGCTCCCTTCGCAGCTGACTGAATAAACTTATGTTACTTGAGCGGTAATGAAACATTCGGCCGATGCGCAGTGAAGTAGGGTCGATGTAACGTGACAATTTTAAAGCACCCTGTCCCCTTATATTAAAAAAACAGTGTGATATACAGGAAAAACAGATTGATGTTGACAGAATATTCAGGACTTCCAGTGAAAAGGCAGTACAATGTCAAATTCAAATTTTAAAATCAGGCAAAGAAAAGGTATATCTGATACTAAACTGATTCTATAATAAAGCTATTTACACAGATAACCGCACTTAAAACACAAATTGTTTTACTTTACAACTTGTTGTCACTGTCAACACAAAAAATCAGTACCATAATAGTACGTATCACATATACATTCACAAATTTTAATTAGAAGTAATTACGAAACAGTTAAGATAAAACGTTTAGAAATAGAATATCGATGATGTTTAAAACTTGTTATCACACGCAATCATAATGCATTATTAAATACAACCACCACCGCTCTGCAATAAAAATCCAATCAAATCAGTGTATGCTAGAAAATAACTGAGCACAATATTCTAGATGTGAATTACGCTGTCAACAATAAGTAGTATTTTTTTCTTTACTTAAAGCCTTGCAATATGCGTGATATTTACCAACTCCTCCTTTACCGTTAATTGTAGTAGTTATAGAAGCAGAACATGTATCATGATTAAAGTATCATTGACCTTATTATAAATGCAAATACAATAAAATACAGAAGAAAAAGGAAAAGTAGAACCCTAAAGATCACCCAAAGCGACAAAATTGAAAATGTTTCAGGCTCGGTTTGAATAAGCATGTCTATGAACAGTCCTGGAAAAAGCAAGATCCATGCCCTTATCATCGGTTAAAGCACAATTCTTCATTTAATCATAGTAATGGTGAAATTTTGAATTTAGAAACATCCACAGATGAAACATGTTTTGATGAATCTTATCGTTTTGGAGGGTTTGATGCAGCAATACAAACACACACAGGCAGTATAGGAGGAGTGACAACTAGTCTAATGGCAAGAGAAGATAAACGATAATGACTATAAAAACATTTTTCCACATTGTTATCTTTCGGTTCTATTTATTATGGAAGTAGAATACAATTTCTGTTTTGGTGTGCTACTTTAAAACAGACTAAGTACAAGCAGCAATGAGTTTCATTGCCATATTAAAAGATATTCTCTGGTGTTCATGTATAAGAGTAGGTGTTAGATGCGAATTAACAATTCGTATAGCTACTTTTGAAATCGCCTTAACATTTTAAAGTGAGCATATCTTTTTTACATTTATTTTTATTAATATGCTATTGTGTCAGTAAGGATTGCTGGCTATAGAACACAAGGAGAAACATCATGTTATGTTAAATAATAAAAAAAAACTTTTTTTATTTCAGGCGTCTTATTTTGAGTTTTCTGTGCAACTTTTGATTATAAAAGCCTTGAAAAATATAAATCGCCAACATAATTTGATTTGTTCTTAGTTCTTTAATGTAAATTTGTTTTAGAAATTATCACTTGTAAGGTATACAGTATACTTGCTTCACTATTGTTTCAGGTTCCGTGTAAATGAGTCTGTTCGTGGTAATTGCAAGCTAGCCCCCACCCCACAAAGAACCGGCTTAAGCAAAATTTAACATTAAACATTAACTGGTTAACTCTTAAATTTCATAAAATCTTTTTTTTTTCATATTGCTGGTATCATATACCTTTCAATGTGGCAGGTTGGTACCATCGGCATATGGTTCCCAAGTAATTTAATGCATGTTCCCTAAACGAGAACACAATGGGCGAAGCTAAATAAAATGAAATTCTGAACAGAGGTTCAGCGGTTTTGAAGTCTGCATCTTACAAATAAGCTGAAAAAGACATAATTAAAAAGTACGCAACATAATAAACAAAATTATGATTTATGAACTTCCGGTACACCAACCGAGCACATTATTCTACTGCTACCAATAAGAATGAAAATACAATGAGAAATTAAAGATTAATTTTAATCAAAGATTTCATTTTTTTTCCAAAAAGTAATTGTTAATGATTTGTAGTCATCAATATATAACTTTATATAATTGTATTTCATAACTAGAACCACGAATTATTAGCTGTGACAGCAGTTTAATGACAAAGTTATAGTCATATCAATCTAACCTTGTGCCAGATGTGAAACTTGTACAGCCAAAAGTCAAATATTGTTTTATTTTATAGTTTTAGACTTTTATTCAGATATACATACATCACAACAACAGGTGTCAAGTGCAAGTGTGTCAGTCGTAAAATGTTGCTTGTCCCGTACTTCAAATCAGTGTTGTTATATTTTTCTGGTCCTTCGGATAATTGAATCAAGCAATTTTGGAATGTTAAGAATTGAGAACCGTTCAAGCCAGTGCAATGAACTTGAGGTATATTGCCCTTTTTCATTACCCCTCATGCGCAGAATCGAGCAAACGGAGTCTGCAATTTTCATGTAATTTTGCTGTTTTAGTGCTTTCAAATAATCACTTTATTCCTGATAGTTTTACCTTCATTCAATCTGCATTGATTATGATTTCATGTAATTATTGAAATGTTTAATAAAAAACTTTTTAAATAATATTTAAAAAAAACACCACTAATGAGTGAATCAATAAATTATCTCAAAGGGAAATAACAAAACAGAATTCTAATTTCTGTAACCATGGAATCTTCAACAACAAAAAATAACACCATTATCGTATAAAAATAAATATCCCAAAAATGTGCAAATCACATCAACACATTTCTATGTCTGAACAAAATGCATCGCTAATAAAAAAAAAGATACAATTGCAATGTCATGAAAATATCACATAGATGCCACAAAGTAAAAGATATTTTCACAAAAGGTAATTTACATCTTAAATTTAACTAATCATAGTCATACGTTTTCTTAAATTTATCATGTACATCTTAAATAAACCTAAATATATCATATTTTAAATTATACGTTTTCATTATTAATTGATTATGTATTATATTGGAAATTATATAAAAGTTCTAAGTAAAAAAACTAAGCATATTGATTCGTTTCTTACATTTTATACATGTATAAGCTTTACACTTTTAAACAAGTTTATTTTACATAAAATGAATTTATAAATGTATTTATTTCTTATAGACACTTTCCAGTCTAGATTTACTTTATCACCGACTTAGCATGGCGGTTGATATCTGATAATTGAAAAAAAATCCTTCCTAAATTAATAATATAACAAATTAGATGGGGAAAAATACCTGCTAGGCCCAATTTACAATGAACTATGATAAAATGTCGCATTTTGTTACTACAATCACTCACATAAAAAAACGTTTGAAGATTTTAATGATATGGTAACATTTGCATCAGACTAAATGCATATATAATATGTATATAGTAACAATTTTTAAACGTATTATGTCATTATCGTCATTTCTGCCAGACAGTGAGTTAGTAAGTACCTCATTTTTTATTGTTACTTTAGGTTATTTCTTTTTATAATAAGCACAATGTGCAGGTAAAATTGAGAAAAATAAAATCCTTAAAGAACGCACAAAACAAGATTGAGAATTGTGCAGGTTCGACTTGATTGAGCCTGTTCGTGGACGGTAATGGAAAATGCTACCGTACACGCGGTAAACCGCTTTTTATCATCATAATAAGAGCATAATGTATCGTTTATACTGACAATTGCCGAGCATAGTTTCATATTTGTTTGACACTGTGATTTATAGAATTTATACATATAAGTGGCAAATATAGAACAGCAGGAAGACTGTATTAATATTTAATCAAAATATATGTCTAGGCTTGGTTAAAAAATAGACTAAATATTTGGAAATTACAGCTTAGATATTAAAATTTTGGTATTGAATTATCTTCAGAAAAAATTGTTTTTGATCGTGTAAAATGTTTTACAAATAGTGTGTTTAAAAAAGTTGTAACATTGTAAGCATGCAAATTAAAAATACTTGTGCTTTAATTTTAGATACTCTTACAACTTTGTCATTTAGAAGCCAAGTGTCCACAATGCTGAAAATTGGGCTAATTCTTCTTGCTTTGGTGTCAATCATCTTTGCTCGTAAGTCAATATATTTGACAAAATCAAAAGAAAAGAATATTTGGCACCCCCTGTAAAGCTTACTAACTTCTTAATAATTTTTATGATCGAATGTTTGAGCTTTTTATAATGACCTGAAAATATGTGAATTGAAAGCGATATAACAGTAGAAATATGCACGTGATTAATTTAAAAAACGTATAAACATGTTATTTTTAATTGAAGTGTACGTGTTTAATTAAGAAAATGTATAAATACTAGTAATTGAAATAATAAAGCTTAACGAGATTGCATGGCAGTTGAAGTGACATTATGCGTAAAATATTTTTATTTCATAAATTTGTTTGAAATCTAGTAAATTCTTCCTGAATATGTTTTATTTTATTAAGTGAATTTATATTTTGGAAGATGCATTCGCTATTACATGTCACTTTAAGGTGTAAATTATAAATATCTATTTTCAACAGAATGTGAACATGTGTCTCCTTATTCCCCTTGCAAGAGCGGCTACATTGCAACCGTTTGGACATATCATCCAAATAAAGGGAGGTGTTACGAGACTACTGGTTGTTACAAAAACAAGAGTGGGACCTATACAACCAAGAAAAAATGTGAAGAAGCATGTAGATAAATTCAATTGAAATAAGAAAATAAACATATTTGGATCGTTTTTATCTTGTTCGCGTCGTTTCAATTATTTTCAATGTTTTTGCCTTTTAAAATCACTTAATTTAACTAGTGTGTGTTGCAATCCCGCCCGGGACATTGAAGTCTTTCAGATAAGGAAACTATCTGGCTAGCGTATCAGTGGACCCATGTTTCCACGTGTACCCAGGAACCTGCCTGAAATTATTTACGGAGAGACACTCGAATAGCTTGATATTCGTCATATGACATTTAAAAATTGTCAGTGTGATTTTAAGTGCGACACAAAAATATATATCACTAAACGAACTCGTTAAGCTGTAAAAAGATACCTACCTTTCCAACAAGTTCGAGCTAGAAAAAAAGCTTATATGCATGATTTTAATCACACTGATTTGTTTGTAAGTCATCAGTGTAAATATTGGCTACAAATGGTGACAATGATATTTATAATGATTGAAACGAAAAAAATCTGGAATAGGTTGATCCCTTGTAAGAATTAATCTCAAAAAATAAAAAGTAGATGAAAATTGCAAACTGGGTTTGATTGAGCCTGTACATGAGGGAGAATGAAAATGTGCAACATCCCTTCCCCAGCATCGAATTGAGCAGTACGCAGTTTCAACACATAAAAGTGCTGGAATCAATTACCCCGAAGTGAAGTACGGGGTAACCTTTTATATATATATATCTGCCACATGCACATGACGCCAATATCGGCCATATACAAATACGAACTATTATCATAATGCAAATGAATTTCTTGAATTCTAATTGGCTTAAACATTTTGTAGTCGATAGCGCGCAGATAGGCCAATATAACAATGTGTTTCTACAAGTTTTCCCACTTTAATGACTGTATAAATTACTTTATATTCATCAGCCTTCGCAAAGCGGTTAAACACCTGACGTCATCTTTTACGTGCGCCCTTTGCGCAACGTGCTACATTTTCTTATGACTTGTCAATTTGCTTTATTATGAATTAACTAAACAATTTTTGTTTGAATATAGCCTTGCTTACATAAATATAGCCCTCGGCTCGCCTCGAGTCATATTTATCTTTATCACATAAACCGCGGCACAGGAGTGTAATAAAGCCATTTTAAAAAAACGATATTACACTAGTGTAATAACACTTTGACGTGACGTTATTTGCGCTATATAGAAACATAGCGTTAGAGCGCGCTTATGTTAGCGTTACACTATAAACGCGCCATTGAAAAATAACTCTTTACAGTTTACTGTTCTTATTTTATATATGTGATAAAAAGAATATTTTATTTGTGTAGATTCAATACTAAATTTATTGAACGAGTTGAATAAAACAATATTATGCTCGCCAGAGGCTCGCATAATATGATTTATATATGATTTTGTTCAACTCGTTCAATAAATTTAGTATTAAACTACACTCATTTAATATCCTCTATTTATCGGTCAGCAACTTGTACGACTAGTATACATGATAAAAACAAACAACAATATGCAGTGAGGGCACTATATACTTAACTTCAACAAAGCAGTCTCAAAATAGTTCTTGTCATTTGCTTTAAGTATTATTAATATCCAACATTAGCATGAGTATATAAATGAAACAAAAGTACTTCATACTGTAAATGCACAGTAACTTGTAAAGTATTCATTAAATGTAACAAAGTTGTTTTGCCATTTTAAAGCTTTACAATTTCTATTTGAGTTTCTTCTTTAATTACTTCATTTTTTGTTTTACATAAAACTCGTGTAAAGCATAACAATTATTCAAAACTAATCTGGATCAGCAACTGATATAGAGTATTTCAATTTCATGTTTACACAAATATTCAAAGTTACGAATTCTGTCTTCCGGATGTTTATTTAATCAGAGCTTGAAAATTTACTGGCAAGATAAATCAATGTTGTAATTAAAATAAACAACGCTTTTATAAATAATCAGGACACATAAATATTAGGAACCGTCGGAAATATAGTGTATGCTCTGGTAAGTGGTGAAATGAAACATTATGTTTAAAAGTCAGAACAAGCGTGTTCACAAAAAACATGTTTGAAGTCTCATTTATAGCTATCAAAAAAAAAAAAACAGGGATATTTCTAGGAGTACTATATTTGTTACGATTCTTGTAATGAGATGCTGTTACAAAGTGTTGGTTTTATGTTGTTTTTTCCTTTAAATCAGAATCTGTTTCTTACTTCCGTTTTTGAAATTAAAACTCGCCATTGATTAGGCACACGGAAAGCGTTGTACCATTCTTTTTCAGTGCAGTAATATAAATTTAAATGATAATGTTGTATAACACTCATTCCTTATCGATTTGTACTAAATCCAGGATATAAATGGTTAGATTTTTGAAATACCGAAAATTGTGATAAAGGACATCCCGGAAAAGACCTATCTATTACGACATTGGCCGAATTTGTTAGAATTTATTGGCGTGAAAGCAATACAGTAAGACTACCTTAAGTTGGTCAAAGCTTTAACATGTCAAAGATGACTTACGTTCAAGTAGGCCTGCAAACTCAGTTACCAAGGCAAACTTTGCTGCTGTTATAGTAGAGCGGAATGCACGATAATCAGTAAAGTTGACAGCTTGCGGAACTGGCATATTATAAATAAGTATTCGTGCTTGCGCGAGGCGGGTACCCCATTTGCTCGCAGAGAAGCGAAATAAACAACGCCTAATTAAGTGTTTCCAAGAACTTCTGAAAACATTCAAAGACTGTGAAAGTTGGAAGCCAAGCGAAAAGTCGAGAATTATAAGTGAAAATGGCGGTGGCGCGGAGCGAATACACGCTACTAAGCGGGGACGCGGGGCGAAGTTTTATTTATATAACTTCGCCCCGCGCCCCCCGCTTATAAGCGTGTTTTCGTTCCGCGCACCGCCATTTTAACTGGTTAATTCTCGACTTTACGCTTGGCGGGATCGCGGGGCGAAAACACGAATGGCACAAATCAGCCATCAAACAAGTGCTTTTTTTCAGTTTGCTATTTTTCTATTCAAAATCGATTCCATTTCTAGATCAATATTGAATTATCAGTTAAAAAGCATTAATTATATTAAACCTCAATTAATGATAGATGAAATAGATTAATGTGCTATGCCTTTCAAGGCAGGACGTTAATAAGGATGCAAAATACACATAAACCGGATGTAACATATAAGAGATGTCAAAGCGCAACGGGAGACGGATATTTCCCTCAGCTTTAATCTTTGAATCACCTTAATTAATGCCTTTGATTAGGAGGATATCCAGATATGATATTGTATTGAAAGATTCCAGTTCATCAGTTACGTCTTCACGATGTGGCCACATTGAGGATTTTTAAGTTATACGACATTAATTTGCAATTGGTGTATCCCACATTAAGGACGACAAAGAATAACGGATGCCATGCAAATACTGTATACGCGAATATTTCCGCTTATCGAAAAGTTAGCAAATTTAAAATTCCAGCCGTTTTGTGTGAGGAAATATTAGCGAATCGTAAAAAGGGTAGACTTTAATGATATGGTGGTTGATATTTACGCTAGACGAAATTTTAGCGATTTTCGTCAATTCGCGAAATTCGCAAACATTTCCGCGTCAGTAACTTAACGACTTTTTTGGCATTACTATGGCAGGGTCTGTTTAGAGACTTTGACCTGTAAGTTTTTGTTGTTTTTTTTTACCTTCAGGCAAATTGTTACCGAACAATGTCTTTACACTCCTTCAAAATAAAATCACTTTATGTTGACCTTCGCTTAGTCATCATAATTATAATCATTATGTCCATTCTTTTTATTTCTAATCACACTTTGGATTGCATTTATAAAGACAAAAGTGTCTTTGCTTTGCTTTTATTCCAGCAACATTTCTCATTATCTCATTATCTTGTTTTAAGATATTACACAAAATAGAGAAAAACAGAATCTCTTAAGAAAGTCCAACATGGCAAAATTGAAAATGTTGCAGGCTCGGTTTGATTGAGCCTGTTTATGGACGGTCATGGAAAGTGCCAGTTACCGTCCACACCTCTAGCACCGGCTTTAGCAGAATTCAACATTTAAACACGAAAATGGTGAAATTTTGAATTAAGAATCATCCACAGAAGTATTCATACGGCGGGTATCATGAAACCTTCAATGTGACACAGTAGTACCATTCAATGAAAAGCGGCGTATGGTCCCCCAATAAAAGAATGCGTTTTCTCAAAACGAGAGAACAATTGGCGGAACTAAAGCAAATGGAATTTTGGAAGGGGATCTGAGGTTATAAAGTACATAAAGTAATATTAATTTTGTAAAATTATATCAACATGTAGTATATGTTTTGAAACTGATATGACAGTTAATAAACAAAATTCGGAATCAGAAAGATATAAAGATAACATTTTTAACGCCAAAATTTCATTATATTTGTGTACTTCTGTTTGAAATATGTTAGATACGCAAGTAAAAATATAAGAGTGTCACAATTTTTAACCAGAAGCTACTAACCACGTCTCTTCCGATAGAGCGATAAAAAAATCTTTTAATTAATAAATGTTCATGTCATAACCCGCAAGAACTAATCAGATGGGTATGATTTAAGAATATTCTTGGGATATCAGATTTTAATGTAGTCATCATCCTGTGCGTCTCTATTTCATTTTTTGTCAATAGATTAATTAAATGTATTACCCATTGCATTAATTATGTATATAATATTTTTAGGTCAGGTTTAGTATATTTTTGTCATATTATTATAGTAAAAACAGTATTGCTCTCTGTTCTGGTTCTTCCTTTAAAACGTAGACAATCGTTGTTTCATGGTTTTCTTATGCTTATACATTTAAAAAATAGTTTCCGAAAAATGTTCAAGGATGGAACTGGGAAGTGCAAGTTTCCGTCTACGCCCCAAGCACCAACTTAAACAGAATTCAATATTTTAAAAATATAAATGGTGATATTTGGAATTTTAGAAACTTCAGCTTTATGTCCATATGGCGATTATCATGGAATCTTCAATGAGCCGTGATATTGATTCAAAATAGACAAATGACACCTTAG